CGATTCACTTACTGCTCTAGCAACACCAAAACATTGACTAAGTGAGAGCCTGCCTTGATACCTGAACCGTCAGCGTCAAGGGACAAAAGTACAATACACCCACTGATTAGTCGCATATAAACAACTGAATTACTAACACCCTAGACAATTTAACATTAATATCCAATGCCATGATGGAGAATGAAGTTTAATTCTTCTTCATTATTTTGTCTAATTGGCATACTGTTATTTTGTGTAAAACCAGTACGAGATTATTACAGAACACACACAGAAGAACAAACACAAGCCAATTCTACCCGCAGACTTCAGCCCAAAAGCAGGGTAAGTGACAGCAGGAAGATAAGGCAACCCAAAAACACTCTCGCTTCAAAAGGTGCTCCATGCCTAGGGTGAGAGGAGGTAGGAGTGTGCAGCGTGAAAAAAACCAAAAGCATCATGTATTTAAAAGGGGAGGGAGGGAAGAGAAATCTCTGCTACACATGTTTGGTCATACCACATTTTCAAGTTGATAATCAACAGCAAACACTTGATTGTGTCAACACCAAGACCATAAACACCTCTAAGATCATGCCCATATAATAAGATACCACACATCTGCTATTTTCTCGCTGTATAAAAGGAACAGAATTCATTAGGAAATTGCTGCTGCTTAAACACTGCAGGAAGGAAGTCCTCAATAAATTAGAGGCACCCTGACATATTTCTTAAAATGTAGGCTACAGGGAACATTTCTAGTGAATTTTAAGGTAGGTCAATTTTTTGGTCCAAAACAGACAGCAACATCTGTTTAAATCAATTATTAAAAAGAATCCCCAAAGACTTGAATTGATGGAATAAGTTGATAAAAAGGTGCACATATGTAAGCTCACTAATTATGTCTTTTCTAACTTCACAATATGCCGTCTCATTTTCCCACTAGATTTGAACTGGTTAAATGTTCTGCTGTTCTTGGGAAGGAGTCTAGGACATATTATGCCTAACAGCAAACCAACTCCTACAAGGTTTCTTATACCATGTACCCATGGTGGTTGATTTGATCTCACTCAGCCTCCTATTTTTCATCAGGTGTCCAACAGATTCTCAATAAGAACTACTGAGACTACAAGTCTCAAACAGTCTCATTTTCTCTTCTATTAAATTTTGCAACAACTGCTGAAATAAATTCATCTTGCATATAACATGTAATCTGCTAGTGTCACAATCTCTCCCCCAATGTATTGTCACTACTAAATAGAAAAGTTATATTTCATCAGAGCACAGATAGTTATTTTTGTTCTGCCCTCCTCCTTGTTCAACAGCAAGAAAGCTGCAAAAAGCAAAAGTTGAGAAGGTTGAAGGGCACAATTCTAAACCAAATGTTATAAGTCTTACACCTGGAAACTGATGTCCCCAGCTGTCCCAAAAAGGACACATTTAGCCAATACATTTTCAGTTTTGGTTACAGAATTTTTACTGTTTTGTATTGTACTCCATGTTTTTTTTTTGTTTTGTTTTTTTTGTTTTTTTTTAGGGGTGTGCTAAGCAGGCCATATTCAATTTGGATTCGGATTCAGCCCAGTTTGGGGGACAGTGGTTCAATTCACTAATTCGGATAGCTGCCCCAATTCAATCAGGCTGAACCCAAATCTGAAGATTCGATTCTGATTCGCAGAATCAGCAATAGACATAGCTTTATATGTTTTTTCTATATACCTTGAGGTACCAGGTGCAGCTTGTGAACACTGAGATGGTGGGGTGGATGGAACATCCCACAGGAGCGTGGGGGAGCCCCCCGGGCACACCTCCTGGCTTGGCAATTGGCCATGGAGGGACCTCAAGTGCTCCCCTAGACCCAGGAGACACCAGATGGGTGGGGGTGGGGGGGGGGGGGGAGGGCCCCCCCGGGCCCC